ATACTTTCGCAATCAACTACACGTCCGGTACATGGGATGATCTAGTCGTTCGAATACGCATTCAGTGTAACGCCTAAGAAAAAAAGAGAGAAAGAAAGAAGGACATTGACGATACCGTTACTACCGCGATGAAATTCCACGATCGATCGAAGTTGCGTTACAGTAGCGTTGAATTGCGCTGCATGCACGTCGTGGTAACCGGAGACTTCGCGCGCGTTGGAACTCGAGCGAAGAAGATGAACACGCACGACCATCGGTCGGTGACGACCGGTGAAAATTTTTCTCTTACCGTTCGCGATCGTGCTTCAAGGCTCGCGTTACGTAAATATCGTCGTGTTGAACGGCGTAAAACGAGCAGCCAAGTTGCGCGCAGAATTTCAGCGAGAAAACGAGAGAAACGAGATTCCGGGAACTTGAGCCAATAGAAAAATAAATTCCAACTTTCGGCCGAGTCAACAGCAGGGAGCCAGCCAGTCCCGTTGACCGTGGTTTCTCAAACACGGTTTTCGCTAATAGTTTTCGACGAACTGGACACACAGCTGGTGCGCGTATACGTGACCGATTCGAGACCGGAATCGCCAATCGCTTTGAAATATCGGTACGCTATTCGCGCGCGCTGCGTACGATTTAAGAACCGGGGAAATTTCCCCGGCTACAAATTATTCCGACCGCGAAGCACGGAGAGGCAGAGCAGGCCTCGGGGAGAAGAAGTTAACAGTTGGCGGGAAACTAGATTTCACCGAGCGAACATAATCGAGTTGAATTTTTAACCGACTACTGTTGCCACCGTCGTCGTAGCCGGTTCCTAAAAGACGACCGAACTAATCGAATTAAAAACGCTCATGAATTTTAATACTTCCGCCGAACGGCAAAATGAGCACGGAGCAGTCCTTGAATCCAATTCGTTTCTCCACGGCACGATCCAGTCCATCTAGTCAACTGAATTTTCGATTGCTTGTGCAACCGCTCGATTCCAATATGCCTGCGTTTTCTTCTCTTTCTCTGTTTTTTTATTTTTCGTTCCCTTTAGCGACTCTTAGATACATGATCGATTCGATTATGTATTTTCCGAGTAGGAAAAAATTACAAGGTTCGACGAGATTAATAAATACTAATAGATTACTACTGCCAACATGTTAAAAAATATAATATTTAGTAAATTATTAACATTTATAGTACTACTGTACTTTCTGTTGCCCACCACGGTATGTACTAAAATTGACAAATCAGAATTAAATACAAAATTAAATGGATGAATTTCGCTTCTGAAAGACTCCTATATTCAAATGCAGATACATTGTTCAAAACTAAACCTTAAAATCCATCGTCTAATGAAACTGAAAAATTTACACATTATAACAGAGTTGATTAATTTGGTTCCTGAGATATTTGTATTAATCAGTCGTAATCGGAAGAAATAGGACAGTGGATTGCCAACACGAAATACTCGTTTGTTTGCTCGTTTTATCTCTGCGCGCGCTAAGATGAACGCGACGCGATTATGCAATCTTCTTGAACGACGAACAGGCCAAGTATTTCGGATGAAAGAAAATTTCCAATTATGTAGTTGGATCCAACGATCTCTGTTGTAACGTCTAAAATCCAAGAAGAGACGAGACCGAGAAGCGTACGAACCCGGAAGCCAATATTGCCCGTGATGTCACCGTTGGAAAGCGTAATCAGCTAAACAATCACCCTCGTCATTCGGATCATTAAGTTTCCCCTGAGAAAACTACGACACATCGCTGCCATTTACTTCTAACCGACCAAATAAATTCATCAGCGAACTGTGTCAATACAATAAATAAACTTGGCCCATAAAAGGTTCGGATACGGACCTTCGATAAGACCTCGGGGAAAGGGAAACTTCGGCGAAAGAAGGGAGGGAAAGAAAAAGGAAGAAAACGAGCAAGAAGAGCAACCCGTGGAGAGTCCGATTGTGGGTCACTCGACGTCCCACTTTCTCCTTTTTCCGTGTTTCCTCGACGCACACGAGTCTACGGTCTATGTGCGCAGGAGAGAGATCGCCACGTCGCTTTTTCACCTTTTATTTGAGAATACGTTCACCGAAGAATAAAAGTGATATCGGGCCGAGTCGCAGGTCCAGTCAGGAATTTTTCTCGAGATCAGGTCGAATTCTTGAAAATATGTCGCGAGGTAGGAGATCTCGAGAATCTGAACCACGATTCAGGACGAGGCTTATTGTTCGTTTGCACGACTGTGAATCGGAAGAATTCTCGAAGATACTGCGAAGAATCCTCGAATTCGATTGTTGTGAAATTTTATGAACGAAGTAGGTTTGACTAGATGATTGTTTTATTATAGAAAGATCAAATTAATGTGATTTATTTATTTGAAATTCCGTGTTTTTTTATAATATTTGTAACTTTACAATTTCATCAAGTACAACTGTTTCATGATTTATAAGCAATATGAGAAATATTTTGTTAAATAAAGATCAGAAACCAAAAATTTTGGAGTATCTTTTTGCTTCCCTGGAAGATGCCAAACACAGACGAGAATCGTTCTCATTACAAGGCCTTTAACAAAATATTTCTCATATTGCTCAATCGGTATAAATCATGGAACAGCAGTACTTGATGAAATTGTAAAGTTACAAATATTATAACAAACACGAAATTTTAAAATGGTCAAGACATATTGATCACGTATATTACACACCAGACATATTGTCCATATAATACCGTTATAAACGTTGGAAATTTCGGACATTTTAAGCCTAATAATAAAACACCGACGCGATATAAACAGCTTATGAAAATAATTGCAATAAGAAAAACTATTATCAGAGAATGTAGAAAAATTACATACTCCAACTTGACACGAAATATTACGTCACTTGTTTAACATGTTATTTACATTTTATGACTCTACAACGTGTAGAGTTTGGAAATTGCTGCCGTTGATTGGTATGGCGATGTAAGTATCTATTTCTGTCAATATTTTAGAACAGAAGAATGTTGACTTTCCCATAGTGACGTAATATTTTACAAAAAAACGGGCGAAATGTATAAATTTCGCCTGACAATCTCACGTGTCGAAGAATCCCAGTTCCCTACTACATTCCGGGAAATTTATTCAGGCCAATGAGATCCGGCTTCTCGAAATCTCGGAAATGCCAATATTCTTACGTCGACGAGATGCTCAAAATTTCAGCATCTTGCACGATAATATCTCACGGTAACGCGGAGGAGATCCAAAAACCTTGTCGATCGATGGCGAGCAATGCGCGAGCATCGGGTGGGTGAATGGGCGCAATCGCTTCATCAAACGCGGACGGTGTGCGTCGATCCTCCGTTGGAGATTTAGAGACGGGGTCGGGAAACGGAAATGGCCGCGGGACTTGGCGGATCCGGCGCGCAAAGGGATCTGCACGCGGAAAGAAATACGCTCGATGCAAATTCCCCGGTTTCCCCGGTCGCAACATAATTACCCCCGTGGAACGGGTCGGTTTAAATCTGGTCGCGGACGAGGGTTCGAGCGTGTGTGTGTGTGTGTGAGAGAGAGAGAGAGAGAGAGAGATGAGGAGGAGGGGACGCGAAAAAGGCCGACTACAAAGCGATAATGCCGGAAACGAGCGGAGATGCAAATGAGAGTCGCTGTTACCCGTGGACACGGACGAGGATCCGTTCCCCGCCCTCCTCGTTGGCTGGCTCGCAGGTGTACGCTGTAATCGATTCTCGGCGATCGAAACCGGCGAAACGGAGAAACGAAGCTTTGCCGAGGGATTAGCACGATTATCCGAATAATTAGCCTGGAGTTGGGGGAAGGGGTCGAAGGGGAGAGGGGGGAGGGGGGAGGGGAATGGCACACGGCAAATAAAGCTTCACCACCCCGGCCGACTCGAATTCCATCGGTGTATATTTGCTCGCATAGCTGGCGCGCGTCGCGAGGTGAACGGGCGATTGTTCCCTCTGAAACAACCGGGCAAAAACCCGCTGCGCCGCAGAGGAGATCGAAATCGGTGCACGCGTTCCGCTCGCAAACGTGCGTTGCCTGATCGTTGATTAATTTCGCGAGAAATCGCCGCGTTCCGCAACATCGAGCCGAGTGATCGATGATCGTGATCTCGCCGGTCTTTGTTATCTAGGGGGATATCTCAAGGATCGATTATCGAGAGGGTTGCACGGTGCCTCTATTACAGAATCAAATCACGTGGAAAACATAGCGCGTCCTATGTTCTAATTGAACACACTGCCATTTTGTCTAATTTTTGTTACTCTTATTGTGGTGTTTCATCTGTAATGCGCGCTGATGTGCTACTATTAGCAGGTTAGGCAGAGTTTAACATAAAACGATAACATAATTGATCTAAATCACAAGAAGACTATTATTAATTGATTAGAATTTGCGAGAAATATCGATACTATATATATATATATATATATAAAGTAGAAATTAAAACTATTTCTAAAAGTATCATGTTTTAACTCTATAGTTTTCCAAATTGAACTTTATTGTAGAAATTTAAAGCGACGTTAACTACAGAGTAGTTGGTAAGAAATTTGTTCAAGATCTAAGCCTGTGCTGTCTGTATTAAAATCCTATAAGGATTGAATAACGACAAATTGAACGAAACAATAATGGAAAGATTCCACAGACGAATGATACCGAAAAAAGTTAATTTTATTGACTCGATGAGAACATTGACGAGCAAATTGACAAGAATATCACTATAATGTTGTAAAAATCGAGAAACTTAAGAGACTTGCTCATGCGTTACGAACTAAAAGTTAAACTAACTTTGTTTTTTTATTAATAAGCTATCATTCTTTACTGATTGAATCACGGTTATTATTCACAAGCGGAAGATGTACGTATTTGTGCGCGTCACCTAACTCGAATGATGACCCGTGTATATAATTCACTTCGATGTAATCTTTCTGATGAAGGCAACGATTTCATGGAGGCGCACGATTTACAGATCAAACAGAAATGTAAAGAACGATAAACCGTAAAAAAAAAATATCATGACTCACCGAGCGCCTTGCAGCTTCCGCCGTGCAGGGAGTCACCGGCAAGCTGAATGATGGCCATGAGCAGATCACCGAGCATCAGGCAGGTGACATGATGAGTCTGGCAACGCCAGTGCAGAACGTGATGAGAGGCTGGCAGCAACCAACCAGCGGCCAACGTGGCTGCCAGGAACACCGCGCTAATGATGAAGCCCACGGGATACAAGGTGAACCTGATGTCGGCTGCCTGCATTATTGGCCTGAAAGTTTACCAAGGAAACCATTTTGATTTCTTGCTTCTTGTTCTCTCTGTGAATTCGTTTCGATTTTTCATGAGATTAGAATGTGACACTGAACAACACGTGGCTCCAATTAGAAGCAAATTTTTTTCTTAATCTTCGAATTTATTTAAATCCCGAGCGTACGCGTCTTACGTTGTAGTGTTAAGGAAATTTTTCTTCGTTTACCAGGATCGAAGTAAGAAAATAAATAATACCAAAGTGGATGTGATATTTGAAATTATTATAATTATTTAAATTCACGAAAATGAATGGTTAAAATAGACAAAATATCGATGACGATTGTATACGTTAGACGTGTATATCAATATTATATATTGAAAACTATTAGAAAATCATAGAAAATACAGTATTTTCTATTACACGTGCATATAGACAAACATACATCTATATATGTCAGGGTGTGAAAAAAACAAGTGAAAATGAAACGCAAAATAGAACTCTCGGTTGGTAACTAAAAATCATAGTCATCAATTGAACTCGAACTTACAATTACACAATTGACGGTTGTTTCGTACGCGTACGCTATTCGAGAGATAACTATACTCTTTTGTGCGCAGTGCCAGAGGGTTGATTTTATTGCGTTACATCGTAACGGATTCTGAGCTCGCTACCGTGCCATTACAAACACCTATCGCCCCTCTGTGACACTTCTGTCGACAGTTTCGATTCCAGGAACATCCTGCCCTTTCCACGAAACGCGTATCCTAGGTCCCGATACTCGAATTTCGACACAGATCCACGCTCCGCTCTCTGTTACAGCCGTGCCAGTGAAAGTCCCGGTGAAATCGTTTCACCGAGTTTCGTGAGGGGATCTCACGAGCTTAGAAACGTCGTTCAAAGTTTCTCTGTTGGAGAATCGTGTCTCTAACGGCAGTTGGGTCAGAAAAAGGAGAAGACGTATGGCCGTTTCTTAGCTAATCAGCGCGTATAATATCTACTCATGCACAACGAACGTTCGCATTCGCGCGTCATTCACGGCGTATGTACGATACTTGTGGCACTTTCTACGCCTATGTATTCACTTTCTTCTGTCGATTCTCCACAGACCGAAATTTCTCTACCAATTGTGCAAACAGACGGCCAAAACCTTCCATTCTAAGTAAAACGTCACACTGGATTTTATCCGCGAAAACGAGCTACCCTCCCAGCTCGGCCACATGTAAACGGTCCCGTTAATTGAGTTTCGAGTGTTGTTTTGCAAATTGCACGCGACACCCGCGTTGCGCGTTTCCCGTGTACAATCCCCGAGACTCTCGTGCCGGGCGAGCTTTATTACCCACGTTTTTCGAATAAAACCTTTAATCAATGCAGTTCGAGCGACGCAATCGTGGTGAAAAGGATCGGTAACACCGGACTTACGGCACGTCAGGAAAAGTTTCGTCGGTCCGCATTTGTAATAAAACTTCAAAATACAGAAATACAGAGTATATGCAAAAGTAAATGAAGCATTTCAATTATGCTATTTCTTATAATATTCAAGGAGGACATCAAAGTGTCCTGAGCTTCTATCCTGATCATCGATACTGTCCTCGTTCACGAATTATCTCGAACGGAAACACGTTCACGGATGACGCGGCGCATCGCGATCGCACGGACGTGACCTAGAAATTCTTCGTGAGACGAAGTGAAAGTGAGGGAACCGACTTTTTTCTCCAGCTGTCGAGGCGGAGAGAGAAGCGGCCAGCGCCGAACCTCGAGACTCATACCCATCGAAGATGCAATTAAGTCGTACGATAAATCCAGATCTAGACAGCCGATGCTCGAACGGGCAAAAAGTCGATTCGTGCCTCGAGCTTTCAAGTAGGGCGTCGCGAACCAGCTGACCCTCTTGGAGGGAGCGTGAATCGGCCGATTGTCGATCGATTAAAACTAAATTGCCAAAGGAAGGAAGGGAGGATTACGAATCTTGAACGGTACGTGTTCATTTGAGAGTGAAACTGTCTCCGAGTTGCTCTCGGAAGTGTTTTTCATAAGTGGACACTGAAAAGAATCGTTCAACCGTCTGAAAGTGATCGCGTTGCCTCTCGCTCTCAAAAACGAGAAGCAAAGAATAATGATCTCAAATTGAAACGCGAACAGGTTTCGTATTCCGAGAGCAGCTATCACGAGAGTTGTTTCGAGAGAGCATCTCTAAAAGAATATTCTGATGGCCAAACGTTCGATTTAATTGCTTCATATAATGTTGATTGCAGAAACGGCGAAAAAAGGGATAAAATATTTAATAAAAGTGAAGTGAAATTTGAATTCTCCATAAAAGAAATTCAATATCTGTCTACGGTGAATCCTAAGCTTTTCTTTCTATGTGGCTTCTTCTTCTTGGTATCATGGCGATAGACATCGGAGTAACGATTTCGGATTTTAAATTACTCAGTCTTGGAATATTTAACTTTAATTAATTCTAACTTTAATTACGGAGAATGTAAAATTTTACAATATGAAAATTACTTCAATCATTTATTACCTAATGATATTACAATGATCAAAGCTCTAAGTTTCTGCACGTTCCTGTGATTATGCACGTTCGTATGATTATCACGTCGGTCATGTCTTAAAAGAAACCGACAGAAATTGTAGAGAGTAGGTGCATAATTTAAATTTAATCTACAGATTAATTTCCAATGGACACGATTCTAAAAATTCTATCGAATAGCAAACTCTCATTAAGTTTTCTATCACCTATCGAAGTTGTATTCAAGTACGAAATTGACGCGCAATTTGAGTGTAATTATCAAACTTCAAATGGACACGTACCTTCACCTTCCATTGTGCCGCATAACTTTGAAATGACGTACTGATATATTTTTTTGGTATAATTTCATTTTTCATTAACCAAAATGTAGAGAAAAAATCGTTCTTTGTAACTAGAAAGATTATCTCCACATCGAAATTGTCAATTTTTTCTTCGTATAACACAATAACATTTTCAATCATTTGCACTAACTTTTCTACACTTCACAAAGAATCCGGAATCGATAAGTTCCCGACAATGTTTGCCAATTCGAACAGGAATCACGCACTTTTCGTTCGCTTTCCTTTGACCGGTGAAATTCAGAGACTTATTACAGACGCGTTCCGTTCGTTACTTTAATTTCGTTTAACGAAGAAACGCGCTCCGTCGAGTAGAACGCCGGTTGCGCTCGTTTGAGGAGGCGTGCGGAGAAACGACGTTAACGAGAGGGAATCGCACTGCCGTGTCGAGAAACAAGTGGAAAAATAGTAAAAGATATGGTTACGTAAGCAGGATGTCTGAGGTTGCTAACGTCGGAAAATCGTATCTTTTGCTTTATGGCGAACTGCTCTTGCAACTTGGAGTTCGGTATGCGGATAGTAACGACGTACGAGGGTGTGCGCAATACTCGAGGTTATATTCGACTTTGCAACTTTTACCAATGTTCCGTTTACGCCTGCATCTTGCTTTCAGTCACGCGAGACGCAGATTTGAATTTTAAAAAGTTATTAACGTTTTCACGATTACTTTGATCTCTTTCGAAATTTTAATTATCGTCTGCGAAAGTGTGGAATATCGCGCACGTTTGAAATCGATGTAAACCTGGCACCTTCTAGATAACTGATAATTTTTTTTCTTACAACTTTGCAACGAAATGATCTACAGTTTGCAGAACAGTTTCACTTGATTTGTTTTAATTTTTGATTTTACGCAATGCAAATAGACTCACTGAAAATCAACGTTAAATCTCGTTCGCAGTTATTCCTTTCAGTCAATTTATATCATTTTTTCCTACGCCTAACATTGCCCTTTAAAGCACATAAAAATCCGTAATTTAGCTATGAGAAATTACTTTTTGGTCCTCATAATATTAGTCGAATGTATTAGCGTGATCGTGAATTCTAGTTAACAGAAATTGTCAAAACTTACCTCTGCGGTGCGTGCTCGGAACAAGCGAATACTTTGGCCACGTGGTTCAGTTCCTTGACCCTCTCAACGCAAAACTGACCAGTGGGTAACGTGACGCCGTCGATTACCAAACCACCATCTTGCTGTAACACGGCGTCCTTAGCATCGCCCAGAAACGTAAGATTGTCGAAACGAAGGCAAGTTGGGAAACCGGGTACGATCTCAGCGGTAGCAGAAGCATTTGGTAACAAAGGCGTGGGATTGGCTGACTCTTCCGAAAGAACGCACGTTTGTCTGAAACACATGAAATTTTCAGTGATTATTGATTTGTGATTCGAAAGCATTGATGGATCAACATTAATAGGCGACATAATAGAAGAAAAAAAAAAGTGAGGATACGTTAAAGAACCTAAGATTAATCGTGTATGGTGGAAACGTTCAAGTAATTATGAAATGGAGGTGAAAGGATTAGGTAGCAGATATATATATAATGGTCGAGTGTTAAAGAGAGGTGATTCAGAAATCTATAGATCTTTATTGGGTAACGTATTGAGCAAGAAAAGTCTGAGTGAGTTGGATTATATACATATATATTGTTTTGGAGTAATGCAAGAATTCTCTTTTAGTCAAGATAGTTGATACATTGACGACGCGATAAAATGAATTCAGAATGATCACTCTGAAAACAATTGTATCTTGAATCTTAACATTACTTGAATTTTCATAAAAGTATTATAAAATGCTTGGTGTTATTCAGTAAAATAAAATTCAGCAACAATGTTAACGATTTAGACAAAATCGTCACATAAAAAGCAAGCAAATGTAATGCAAATATTATGCAAAAATTAAATTAACAATTATAATGTTAGATTTCAGTCTATCGTGGCAGTTAATGCAAAAGTTCGAACGAGTAAGAACAAATTTCTGAATTTTGTCTTTTCCAATATTCTTTAATATATGCAGTTCCAGTTTTCATGATATTAAAATTTTTGCATAGGACAGATATGTGCCAGGTTCGCATACAGGTACATGTATGCAGTAAACAAATTTTCGAATTCAATTATATGGAAAACGAAGCATCATAAGAAGAATATGTAATTTCGCTTTACATTTCCGATTTATTTCTTCACACATCTGTACTGTAAAATTCATTTCCTTTTCTTAGTTGCACTATAAAAACTAAAATAGGACGTCTCATTCGAGAGAAAATTTACTTGGAAAACCAAACGACAACACTGAGACACGAGAGAACCACAGTTCGTAAAACCGACATTCGGAATTTTCCAGGACATCTTACCCTTACTTGAGTTCTACGAGAACGAACCCAAGCGGGAGAGAGAGAGAGAGAGAGAGAGAGAGAGAAAGCAGATACAGCCAGAAGTGGAAAAAGAGAAAGAAAGAAAGGTGTACGTATCGTATCGCAAGAATTTATCTGGGAAATGCGCTGGCCAGTCACACAGAATTCCAACAAAGTCCACGGAACGCCCAAGCCTGTACGATTGGAAGCGCGATTAAAACGGAGCTCTGCATTTTTTGTTTACTCGAGCGTCACGCTTGCATCGCAAACACCGCATTTCCAAGGGAAGTCTCGCGCAACTTTTCCAACATTTATTTTTCTCTCTCTCTCTCTCTCTCTCTCTCACACTCTCTGTCTACCTCCCGCCAGTGGACGGCTGGCGTCAAACGACAACCGGCGGCTCTCAATAAAAATACATTGGCTTGCGCGGGTAAACCGATAAATTTTGCGTAACCGGCTGAACGATTACACTTATTCCCGAAGCTGGCCGGCGTTTTTCTCTCGCAGCCTTGCCACTAAAACGCGAATTGTCGGGATATTCGTAAGGAACACCAATCCCTTCTAACTTGTCTGAATTATGCGGCTACTTTTGTACACTAAGCAGTATTAAATTTGTTTTTACGTTTGGCTGCGTGCAGCGGCTTCCTCAGCGATGCTGGAACGATTTTACGTGGCTACAGTATAAATATTGACTCTCTCTCTTTCTCTCTCTCTCTTTCGAAAAACAGAATATACACTGTCCGACCGTCGAATCCGAATTATTTTTTACAATTAGTGAAATAGAAACGTTTGAGCAGAATTTAATTACTAACTGATAGAACTATGCTTAAGTAGACTCTGTTTGAACAAAATTTTGATCAATGCTCGATTGAGAAAAATAGTGTCATAGAAATTTGAAGGTAAAGATAAACAAGTAGAGAAGAGGAAAGACCAGAATGATTTTTTTTCACGTAAAATGGAAGAAACGAAAGAATTGAAAGACAGAATTTAAAAAATTCGTCACGAAAGTCGAGAAAGATTTGGAACTGGAATTTGACTCTTTGTTATTTAGTATACCATTTATTTGAGCTTGTCGGGGAATAAACAATTTATATATAGTGGCAAACTGGAGTCGCATAATACTGAATTTGTCAATTTTCCCTCCTATCATTTTTCATTCGCGTAACAAGAGTCCGAGTTCAGATAAGTGAATTCAATAGGCAGAGTTAATAGTTTATTAAGTAAAATTTTGTTCCACTAAATGAAATTTTACTATAACGAGTTCCTTTAAATAGCTCTTAACTTCTACGGGCTTCTGGAATATTTAAATCTTTGTATATCTTTCGTAGGTTTCACCGAGATTACAACAGATAATAATGAGATTATATCATGTTTGGTAAATGAGAAATTTTAGGCAACATTCTAAATTTCTTAAATTTCAACACTGTCTTACTGAATGAAAGATATCTGTTTCATTCATGAATTTTTTCTTAGTATTCAAGTAGTATATCTATAAATCATTTTTAAAAATGTTTATTTCTTAAATGAAAATTCTTGGTGTTCGAGTAAAAACAATATTTGTTCAAAGATTTCATTATATGAAAGAAATTCACGATGGGAACGTTACAAAGTTTTCGAAGTTACTTTACTCGATACGTTCTACCCTGTCAAACTATGGCGAAAGACAGGAACTGGAAAAAAAGTGTAAAAACAAGTTCCTTAAACCACTTCCAAGTAATGAAACAAAGCAACTTTTTGACGTCACTCAGGTCTATTGAAAATGAAACTATACGTTCTATTCTAAAAATCATGACAAACATTCTCCTTTCTTTTCAAATCTGAATTACAGTTCGAACATACCGTTATGTTGCCGTCGTCACTTTGAAATAAGATTAAGTTCGTCTCGAAAGGATAAAATGGCCATGACCATTTTGAATTACGACAAAACCAAAAATAAAAGACGAGCTACAACGTCCAACAAAATATTCAATAATATAATCGTACTCAATAATATATTGCCTTTCAACAAAACGTATGGTACGCAGTAATACTAAAGCTGCAAAGTTCATGTCGATACGCCACGGATTGACATACATATTTACTTTTAAATACTGCTTGCCAGCATTGAATAAGCGTTCGTAAACAAAATACAAATGGCCAAGTCACCAAACTATCCTCTGTTTTCATTCTCTTCCTATTATTTATATTCTGGGTTGTCGAGCAAATTTCTCAAACCGAACGTCAACATAATCGGTCGAAACGCAAAAAAAAATCCTCCGTTTTCATTCTCTTCCTATTATTTATATTCTGGGTTGTCGAGCAAATTTCTCGAATCGAACGTCAACATAATCGGTCGAAACGCAAAAGGAAAATTGTAAGCTGTACAAAGACTTACTCCTCTTCGTAGAACGTGGCATTTTCTCCGCAACATTTCTTCACGCGTGGTCTCATGATGACAGCCGCATTGCCCGGCATTCTATTCTTCATGCATACGAGAAGTGCATTCGAATCGGCGCAGTACGTGTCCGGCTCGAATCTCTCATTCACGTGGACGTCGATGATCACGCGACCGTCGTCCATGAGCACAAACGGGTTGGTGATTCGGTACGGCACGTAGGTCAATGCAAAATTCTGCTCGCAAACGGGCTTCCTGCCTTCGACGATGTCCCATTCTGCTGGCGGTTTCTCCAACATATCTGCCTTGGACGGCGAATAGATGATAGGCTTCCATTCGCTCTTGGTCGCCTTGCAGTGAGTCCTCGCGTCCGCCTCGTTGTCGGATTCTTTCACCAGTTCCTCGTTATACCGGCAACACTTCAGGATCGTCAGTCTGGTTTTCGTGGGTTCGTTCACCGGCTCGCACAACACCGGAATCACGACAGTCCAGAGAATCACGTAGTAATAAATCGACATCGCAGCGAGAGTTATTCAGAGCGAACGTACGAGATAAAATCAAGCAAACATCACACAGAAATTCTACTCAATCCCGATCCGTCTTTCGAAAATCCGGCGTTTCGGCACGAGTCCCACAAGTAGCTGTTATCAAAATTTCGCGAATACGCCAAACGTTGAATCGGCAAGGTGGAATTTAGAAGACTCGCTGGCTGCTCGTCGAATATTCTATCGCATATTCTGCGCCGAACAACGAGAGAACCACCGACCCAGAATTTCGGAGTAGTTCGGGGATCACGCGTCTCTATCACGTGTTTATAAACAACATACAACGAACAAGGCGTTCAATGTTCACTGAATAATTATCGTTGAAACACGAGAGAACAATCGTGTGTTTTCGTATCGCCTCGATCTGCAGCTCGCGATGCAACACCGTTGAATGGAACAAAATATGTGCAAAACGATCAGACAAAGAATTTTGGCGCGTCTCGACACAGAGTCGGGCTCGAAATCGGACGTGACTCACTCGCTCGAAGGTATCGGAGTTACTGAAGCGGGCCGACCACGCGGCTAGCTCTCAAGCCACCGGCGGCAGCGTGGCCCACGGTTGCGCGCGCAGCTACTCGCTGCTCCCGCCCTTATTCAACCACCTAACCTTCTTCTTTCTTCAGGACGGACCTTCTCCACTATCGTGGGGTGAGTTCATGCGACCACGTGCTCGCTTCCAGCACGCTTCCTTCCCGGAAGTGCAACGGGACCTAGCGCAAATCCCCACCAACTTTCTCTCTCTCGCTCTGTCTTTCTCTCTCTCTCTCTCTCTGTTTCTGAAGGATTTGTCTCTGAGAAGTGTCATGATTTTCCTTACACCACAATAATGCTTTGTAGTTCTATTTGTAAAGAATACCTATATAAGGAATTATGAAGCAGTAATTAAGGATGGAAAATCATAAGAATAATATTTGAACATTCTATTTCTTTTTCCAGCTATACGTGCAAGTATCCAAATGTTTTTCAGTTCTTTTGAAAAACTTCTCCACAGAGTTCTATGGCTTTTGAAATACATGTGCGACATCTGTGAATGTATAGATTGGTTATTACCGCAGATGAAAGTACTTTTTGCTTTTGAAAGATTTGAAAGGTTTATTTTGTTTGAAGCGAGCGCATGGACGCATGAATTGGTTTTCACAGTAAAGATGAGAATTGGTTTTTGAACGATTCCAAACGTTTTGTAGAGAAAAAAATACGTACATTTTTATAACAATCACTCCTCTGACACGATATTCTTATGACGTGTTTTGAGTTTTTTTTTTTTTTTTTTATTCAAATGGGATACGTATGATTTTGTATCTTGTAACAACAGTTTTATAGGAAACACATTTCCCGGCATTGTATTATTTCGTTCGACACGATTTCAATACAACGCAGAATAAACAAACCATGTTACAATTCCATAAAATAGAATTATAATTATGAAGATCAACGCGAATAGGTACGGTATATTACATCTTGGAATAAAATGTTGATAAAGGAAGATTAAACATATCTTAATTTTACACTTTTCATTGCTCATCACCCTATATGAAGACGAGGATGAATCTTCAGTGTGTCTCGTGCTCGATTAAAAACTACGTTACAGACACGCAAAACAACCGCGAGACTCTAGAAATTTCGCACGGTCATTGGCAGGTTAAACGAACCGAGAACCAGACGAGGATCGTTCGCGTAGATCTGCGAGTCGGCCGCGTGCTTCCAGGGAAGATACAATGCCCGAACGGAGATCTATGAGAAAATACACATCACCGTCCTTACGTTCGTTATTATGGACAAAATAAATACGGTACCGGACCTGGTATTGCGAAATCACCATCTCCGCCAGTGTGTTTTCAACGTGCAAACTTTCTGGGCCACAACGATGCATCGGGCCGGGGATTTCTGATCGCGTGCTCAGGTCGAGAACGATAATGACCGAGAATCAAGATAACAGTACGCAAGATCAAGTCCATAAACTATCCTCCGAGGCTGCCTACGAAGACCCCGATGCCGGGAAGCATACTTTCCACGTAGCGTTCGCTCGCCCGCTCGTTCGGATAATTTATGATCGCGTTAAGTTTCGCGCGAGATTAACAGTGCACCGCTCGATCCCGTTCAACAAGGCCAGATCGGGACAGCAGACCGGGTGTTCTGTGAACCGTCTTTCGATCTCATTTTGCAGCTCGTTCTCTCAAAGCCTGCTATTTCGCCGATTTTCCGCGAATCTAAGGATAAGTTCATACCAAGAAAAAACATCGAAGCAACACGTAGTATTTGAAAATAAGAATACATTGGAATATTTTCTATCTAACTGCTAAGTAGACCAGCAGTGTCGTCTGATTTTAAATTAGTAATTGTTTACGTGTTGGTGTTATTAAGATACTGTATCGTCTCAATGTTTCTGACGCCACAAAATTTCCATTTATAAATTAAACACAGACTCGAACTAAATATGGGTCAAACTAAGATTGAAGGTCAGAAGTGAGAAACTTTAGAACTGAGAAATGCACGGTACGAAGATAATATTGTAAATTGTAAAAAAGTCAACTTCATTTGTATGAAATTTGTGCTATATATTTATTAATATACTTGTCACTGTCTAATCAAGTTTAGATTTTTCGTTCTGAACGTACAAAAAGAGAACCGCGAATTTGACTTTTATTCAATACTTATTCAAAGTACCCTCCTTTAAAAATTTTAAGATAAATTTGTCTCGAAATTGAAAAAATAAAATGATGCTCTATACAATAAAAAAATCTGCGTTTAACTTTAACAGATAATTTTTACTAAATCTAGAAATCACATTTCGCAAATTCTTAATAGAACAATCCTAGTGAAAATTATTCCGAGTGTGTAGAGTTTAACAATTGCGTTGTGAAGTAGCCACCGATAATCCAAAATAAATACCAGGTCCCGAGACCTACTAGGAATAACGTCCGTAACAGTCCTCGTATAATAAACATTAACCATCTGTGAGACCTCCTTCGTGTACCAATCGTAAAAGTTTCAACGTCCGTGGCAGTTAAGAGCAAAACCAAGAGCGGCGAAGCGTAGCTACCGTGTACGAAAGCAGTATTGCGAAAGTATGCTTTTTATTTGGAATTCCGGCGTGTCGCGTCAATCCTGATAGCTGACAGTCGATCGTGACGCAAATACCACCGCTCCCGGAGAAGTTTCCACGGTGTAACGCACCGGTCGAAAATTGATTCGAACGACGGCTAGCTGCCGGGAAGCGGAAGCTTTCACGGTAAAAACCGCTTCGGAAGGCTCCTTTTTGCCTCCGTTAAGGGACGAACAAGACGCTGCTCCGAGCCGACAAGCGGAAACGCTTTAAAAGTTTCGGACGGCGCCAATTAAACTTCTTCGCTATTTCTGCGTGGCGAAAATTGGAAATTTATGTCGCGGCACGGCCCGGCGGTGGTGGTGGCGGCGGTGTGTCTGCGAAATTTTGTCAATTAAAGTGTCCTTAGCGTTCGGGAAGCCGGCTGGCGCGAACCGCGGAAAAAAAGCGTTTGAAACAGGGTGGAAAAAGGGTTGGAACGAACGAGACGGTAGGGAGGAAGCGAATTGTTTGTCGCCGTGGCGGCGCGATTTGTCCGGCTCTTTTTTCCCCTCCACGCCTTAATGCGAAGCTTATAGCGAAATTAGGAGCGGAGATGTATGCCGCAATTACGCGGCTGTCCCCTGACTGGCTGAAATATCGCGCGAACGTTGCTCGTGGCTCGTGCTCGTGGCTTCCAATCGGGGTTTCGCTCGATAAAATCGTTTTTCAAAATTTCGTACCAACGCACGGAGCGGAGCGCGCCGCTCCGATTCTCTGCGCTGCACACCGGTCAATGGGAAGCTTTGGAATTCGGAAACTCGCTCTGGCTAGAGATGGGATCGAGCACCTCACAAGTAAGTTCGAGTAATAACCGTTGGATTCAAATCCTTTCTTCGCAGATGTTTCTAATGCTGCTTCCAAGTGTACAGAGACAGTTTCAGTTGTTCCATAAGCTCTGAATGAAAATTATATTTTCAAGTAGAATTCGAATACTAGAGATGACGACAGAGATGAGATTGAATATCTCGCAAGTAGATTTGGTCGAGTTGAGAACTGAAATGAAACAAATTTCGTTTCAAACACAATGTGGATTAATGAGAGAAACGACATGTTCTTTCTGATTTTCAATTAGAAATTTTCGATAGTAATTTAAACGTGCCTGACCGAGAACATCTCGGTATCAAATTTCGAAGAACCTGAGCAATTAATATTGAAGAAAAAACGGATCCTACAAATCGGAATGATTGCAAAACAAGCTCAAATTGGCAAGTTTATTTAAGAAAGGTGTCAATATAAAATATATTATTCTTGTTGTTCTGTCAGTTTTTACAACAAATTGAAAAGTATCGAGTTCATAATGTTACGAAAATATAGAATCATTTTCAATAAAAATATTAGACTAACTCTCAGAGTGAAGTGTTCAAACTTGAAAATTGGAATTCTTCTTCCAGAGATTTTCTCAAAAAACTAAAGATTTAGCGCACTCGAATTTAGTATAAAAAAAAGAAGTACTATTAAAAATCACGTATTATAAAGCTATCACGATAAAAGAAATAAAAGTAAAATACTTAATAGAGCGATTATTTCCAACGTTACACCATTTTATTCCAAGCGATACTTGACTCGCTATTTCGTACGAGAACTGATCCAAGTTGATCCAGAAAAATTCTGCAAAGTGCGAAAGGTTAAACGTCGAACTCGGACTCGTAAGTACTCGCATTGTGCTTGATCCCATCCCTAGCAACGGTATGCGTAAATCACGAGAGAGGATCCAGGAACGATCCTGCCGCTCCGTCTGCTATCTTCGTCCCTGTTTCGCGCGTGTGCGTACGGCCGATGCAACGCATTCACGCACGTTAATAGGTTTGCAACGGGAGCGCGCGCACGCGCGTTCAGCCGCGTCGTCCCTAAACGTAATACAGATTTTATCTACCCCCCCTGGATGTGTAGGTTGCCGCTGGTTGTCTACAGTCGCCGGTTGAAGGGGAAAAGGCCAGACGGTTTCATCCAAAAGCGTTGTTGCTCTCGCGGACGATTTCGAAATCCGGCGAGATCATTGCTCGATCGAGCGTTACTCGTTAAGGGAATCGAGGCTGCATCGGCGATCCTATCGCGAGAATAACGCGCTCCGGGGCTGCGCGATAATGCATCGTCCTGCACCCTCCACGTTCACCCCCCCCCCTCTCTCTCTATCTGATTTATAAATTGCAAAAGCGATCGCAAAATCGTTCGCCGAACGCGCGAACGGTTTTGTTTTTTGCTAATTGAACGGTGAAATAACGAAACGAAGCGGGGAAAGATACGCGGAAACCGAGGGGGTTGGGTCGCGGCGCCGAGTGAAATATTTAGGAGTCTCGTGTGAAGCGTCGACGATGATTACCGGCGGTTTATGTGGCGCCACCGGGCTCGTCGAGTTTCCGCTAATGTACGAAATACGCCAAGTGCTCGCGCCACGCCAC